GTTACCTGGACAAAGCACCTTGAGAATTTTAGTCTAATTAAGTTTTAATTTCAAAAGTTCATTCAATTTGGTTAGCCTATTTTAGTTGATCGAACAGAGAATCCAGATTCCTTAATTCTACAAATTTTCATTACTATTTAAGCATTGATGCATATAAATTAATACAAATCTACTCAGCTTAGAAGCCAATCAAGCTCTGCCATCAAAGCCTAAGCTACATATGAGTGCTAAGGCTATGCTTAATGCCAACATAAAGCCCTTTCGAGTGATTATCATTTCACTTTCAATTGCGTAATTGAATAACGCTTTCATAACACCATTCAAAGCTGCTACTTTAAGCTGCTTTGTAATTAATCGATAATTAACAAGAATATCTATTAAATGCACAGCAAACGAATCCACATTTTGCGAGTTTCCATTTACCAAATGCTTCCATTTAGCGTTTAAATGCATAATATTATCTTAACAAATCAATTGTCTGGCTCATTAGCCACTGAGCATATTCATTAACCTAATTATGGCGAAGCCCACAAGATGCGTGTTATATGTATATGAAATGATATATATATTGCATATTAATACACTTGACGCCCAATGCAACAGTTTCGTGTCTTAGGCCAGTGGCCAAAAGCGTTGCGGAGTCAACTTAGCGAGCTTTAATTATATATTAGCCAATTGGCCTTCTCAACTTGAACACTTTGACTTGCAAATGCTAAACACAAATACCCACGCAAACACACACACACACACTCATATGTAGGCTGTATTAATATGCAATACACTGAGCAAAAAGTGCTGTTAATACTTTAGCAAACTTTGGCAAAGACAAGTTTGAAGTTTCGAATTTTCTAATTGTAAATCAAAGTGCAAAGTTTGCTTTTAAGACATACTACAATTTACCCAGATATATATATATATATATTATTATATATACATAATTATATATATATATATATAATATTTTCTTCATCATTTTTTGTTCCACATAGAACTGTTTCAAATTGAATTTATGAATATTCAAAATGAAAATAAATTAGAAATTGAATTATTTTTACTCCACTCATAGTCATCAGAGTCTCAAAGTCATGGATTTAGTGCTTTCAGCTTCAACCGCAAAATATTTCTGCAAGTGTATTTATACTATATACATATGCATTCCATTCAATTGTTATTTGAAACTTGGAAGTTCGTTGAGCGCCGTCAATTTGGCTGGCAAGTTGTAGACATCGTCTGGAGGCCTCGTCATCCACACATCATATTGTCCTTGCGGTCTTTGTTGTTGTTATTGTTGCTGTTGCTGTCGCTATTGTTGTTGTGGCCGCCTTTTGCGGGCTAGCACGTGTTGAATGCTGTGCGAATCATTGTTGACACACATGCACGATGATAGCCATTATGACTATAAGAATCAGCTAAGCCGTGTCCCACCCTCCCACGCTGCTAAACGAAATGATAAACAAAGGCTGCGTCAAGCTTAAATTGCCACTGACAGGACGTTTTGGATGCTGCGACTGCAGGCAATTCGCAGTCGCCAGAGCTATTGACATATTGAACGCTAAAGATGCGAATCATGTTACCACTCCACAAATACCCAACCCCCAAGAGCTAACTGTATAAGGCTCTCGTTGGGCTTCGACCCATCCACTTAATTTTTTTTTCGGTTTTTAACATTTTTTGATTGGGCTGCGCCCCCAAAACGATTTCCTTCTAATTTTAGTTGCCTGTACTAGCAAACCCTCCCCCTACTCTGCCCCTCCCCTTCTTTCAGCTATTTTGGTCAGTTTGGCGTGACGAAGACAAAAACCATGAAAGCAAAGCAGCAGAAAAACTCAGTAGACAATCATCAAATAACTGACAGTCCAATCGACGCTTGAAAGCGTTTCCCGTTCCCAGTTTTTGTTAGTTGAATTGTGTTCGGTTTCGGCTTTTCCTTTTTAATTCTATTTTTTTATTGCTTGCTTGGTGTGGGTGCACTTTTGTGGCTCATGCGTTTTGGGCACATTTTTGGGGAATTGGAGCGAGAAAGTTTGCATTGCGGTCTCTGAGTTGAGTGTCTTTAGCTGAAGAGGAAACCCGAAAATCCATAGACAGAGTCAAAGAGTGGAAGACAGAAAAGTACCCAAGGAATTTCCAAAATATTTGCCGAATAAGAATTCATTTTCAGCTTGTTTTGTTCTTTATGATGATATGTATATAAAAATTTTAGATTTGAGCAAATTAATAGATCTTTTTTTATTTTAAATTTCAATAATATTTTGAATGAAATAAATGTAGAAGCAAACAGAAAAGAATAAAAAAATTCTTATTTCCAAAATATATATCTTAAGTATTTATTTTGTTTTAAAAAAATCTTAATAATCATTATGAATGAATCTTAACAAAAATGGATGAAAATATTAAAAAATATTTTAAAATAATTGAAAAAAAAATTGTAGATACGCTTATAGATTACGAAATAATATAAAAATATATATATTAAATATATATAGATTTCTAATATCTTTACAATTTAACTTAAAGTTCCAATTGGAATATTCTACATAATTTATATGTTTATCTTGTTTAAAACTTTTATGTATTATTATGTATATTTGAAGACCCTAATAGGGGAAAATGTATACCTTCTCATATTTCATAACTGTTCCTTTCATTTCTACTTCATACCCTTAACATATCAAAGAATTGCGAGGAATGCGTTGCATAAATCGCAATGATAAAGACAATAAACTGAACGCAAATCAAGAGCCAACAGGATAAAGAAGCCGTCACGTTCCTCTTTTGGTTTTTATTTTTGGACTAGCCACCCCAGACAGTACTCAAACCCCAAGAAACAACAAACGATGACACACAACCTTTCAAACCCCGCGTCTCCACTGTTGTCGAAGAAAAACAAAAATCTGTCGAGTTTTATGATCGGCGCGACGATGACGACGACGATGACGATGGCGACTCACTCTGAAGGCAAACCTCAAAAAATGTTGAAACAGCGACGGGGCTGCAATATTGAACTTGAGCGTAGGGGGGTACGCTCAATAAACACGCACAACGCTCGATTCACCCAAATGCCCAACCTCAAGCCTCTGGCTAAACAATTTCTTTGGCTAAAGGTAGCCGTAGCCCAAGCGCTCTTGACCCTTTTTGCACTCACGCCAACAGCGCGAGCTCACAAAAATGAAAAAAAAAAAAAAATAAAAATTACAAAAGAAGAAAAACAAAGAGACTGAATTTGCCCGTCGCTTTTTTTCGCTTTATTCCTTTCAAAAACTTTACGCTGGCCAACGCATAGCCCCCTCGCGCTACCTCCCCTTGCGCGCACACACGGCAGACAAGCGACAACAACGTTGTCCACTTTCGCACCAACCTTCATGCCCTCCCTCTGGCGCTCATTCGCTCGCTCGCACTGTGCACTGCCCCCTGCTCTCGGCACACGCACAGAGCGAGTCGCACTGCCCCCGCCCACTCCCATGGTTGGGTTGTCCCTGCCAACGGTATGACGGTACAGCAACAACGTTGCCGGCTCGTCGTATATTTTTCTCATTTATTTTTCAAGCTCCCAACTCTGGTCTGCCAACTTTACCAAGCACCCAACCCCCATCAGGTCCAAACTCAACCCAGCCCAACCCAAAATGCCGCAAAGCATGCTTTATTTTTTGTGCGTTTTTCATATCCGAAACGCCGACGAGCACCCGCAGCCCTTTCCACTTGCACTCACACTAACACTAGCAGTCACACATATACAGACACACACACACAAACAGAGCGACCTACACAAACCGCGCCGTCCGTAAACCAAACGACGAACCGACCGATCCCAACCGGCCTTTTTTTTCGCCATGCCGGCGAAAGACAAAAGCAACAACAACAACAACAACGCTCATACTCTTACTCACACCACAGTGCTTACAATCCTACCCACACCAACAAAGCCAATGTGCGCTCTCTCGCTCGCTCGCTCTCTCACTCTATACTTCCTTCTCTCTGTCACTCTCTCTAGCTGTTGTTGCTGTTGCATTTTTGTTGGCGACGCGCAAAAAAAGCAACAAAAATAATTGCCATTTCCCCCTCTTCGACCCGTTCCACACGAACAAAAAAAAGCAAACACCATGCCTCAAACCCATTCAGCAGCAACACCTCACACCCTGCAATACCCTCAATCCTGCAGCCTCACCCCGCTGGCCCAGTAGCCACCCAAACCATTCACAAAACTCGGCACTCAGCTGTTTGTCAACTCATCTGCCGTCGCCATCCGCTGTTACTCCAAAGCCAAACCTCTCTGCCCCTCTGCCAGCTGCCCCGTACTCTGGGCTGCTCAGCCGTCGCGTTGGTTCGTTGACGCCGCAGTTGCCGTTATCGGCGTTTCTCTGTTTTTGTACTCATATCCCTCGACTCGACCACGCACTGTATGCTCGCCCATTGCCCATTGCCCGTTGCCCGTTCGAGCACATTGTGTTGCACACTTTTTGGCATTTGCCTTCCACACGCACGTTCCGCGTTCTCCATGTGCTTTTTGGCGGCGTCCCACATTCAATTCGCCTCGCATAAGCGCATGTTCCAAGCGCTCTCTCTCTCTCTCTCTCTCTCCCTCGTTCTGTCTAGCTCTCTCTGTCATTGCTCTCAGGCTGGCTTAAGCTCTCGCTCTCTCATGCTGTCGCTGTCGGCGTCGCTGGCGCTAGCGCTAGAAAACGCATTTGTCTGTCTCTGTTTTGGTCAGTCAGCAGTTGGCTTTCGTCGTGTTTGGTTCGCCTCTGGTAGAGCGCTCTAAACTCCTGAGAACAAATCTCAAACAGAATTGTCACAAAACAACCGTTAGCGTTTAGTGTGCCAAAAAGCGTTCGCTTGTTGCATTCGCCGCGAACCAAAAACAAATAAAAATAAATATAATTAAATAAAGTTAAAACCAAAAACAAAAGAGAAAGAGAAAGGATATAAGTATTTAAATTACTTTTCAATCTATAAAACAATTCCTAAAAAGTGTCAAGCTGAATACAAGAAGAAAAGCCAAAGTAAAATTGCGCCAAAAATTTCTGGATATTCTCATACACTTTTCAGCCGGAAAATTGCGATAAAAGTGTAAAGTGTTTAGTGCTAAAGATAATAATAATAGTTGCCTGCTGCATTGCAACTTTGATATCATCGAGTTTTGGCAACGTTTGCGTCAATTCGATTATTTAGTTTTTGGTCAATTTCCTTACACACAGCAGGCAATCAAAAAATTTGCCAAAATTCCGAAAAATCCGAGAAAAACACCAAAAACATCGACACGTACCGCATCGGCAACCGGTGGCGGTGGCGGAGGTGCTGGCGGCGGTGCCACCACCAGCACAAAGATGGCATCTAAAAGAAAAGCCTCGGTGTTGCTGCACAAGGTGAGTTTCCAACACCAGCTCAATCAGCTGACAAAAGCTGAGAATAAAAAAAAAAACAAATTGCGGAAATCAATTGGCAATTTCAGCAATGCAAATCTCCCATATTTTAATGAGTTCTTCTCTGAAATTTGCTCTTCCCTATAATACTACCAATAGAAGATAGTTCAATAACAATATTATTTGCTCGATTCTTGGAATATGTATTTATATTTCACAAATATATATTTTCTTTTCTTTTGAAATGCATTCGCTTTGCTCTGCACACTTTAAGCCTTCAAAGGCGCAACAGATTCGCCTTTGAAGAGCGAAGCGCAACATGTCCTTTTTTGTAATGATTGCCACGCTTGGTTCTGTAAAGTGTTAGATGATATTTATGTTTATGTTCTCTTTTATGATAGTAGAAATTATTGGAAATATATATTTTATATTATTTAGATAGAAGTTTGTTCGAATACATTTTGAATTGAACGAGTGCCAAATTACAATTCTGAATATCAAATGATAATTGTAAGATATTTATCTCACGTTCTTCTTATGGATATATAACTATTGTTATATGAAACAAGCTTGACTTATTAATAAGCTATTATCAGCTTCCACTCAAACTGCCTCAACTTAGTCCCAGATTTGTTAATCTGAACAAATGAATAATTATAAATTCCCATCATTTCTTTTTCTATATATTTTATTTAAATACTGATTTGTTTAATATGTCAAGGATTTTAATTTTTTATATAAATTTTAAATTATTTGCTTGCCCTTTAAATAGATATCAAGAAATAAAATTAAATTTACTATAGCTTAAAATTAGTGCACAAAATACCCATACAAATATGTTCTTATCTTGATATAATGCTGCCTTTTCATTAATCGAGATTTAGCCTCACTCCCACTGACCACACTCAGAGTTCACTGGGTCACTGCCCATAAAGGGAACTCACTTTGAACTCTAATTTTTGACGGAGCTTAATTGGCCAACATTTGCACTTTCACTTGATTTGCCCTCAGTGTTAGATAATCACATTATTTCAGATAAATAAACTCTAAACACATAAACTAAGCTTTCTATGGCATCATCATATTTTCTCACCTTATGTATTAGCTGTAATATTGCTACTTAAGCTAGCAGCACGCACCACGAACCACACGCCGCCCTCCCCCTCAGCTGCCTTCACTCTGAGACACATAGAAAATCAATTTAGGGCATTCTCACTAGAAAAACTCATTCGCTAGTTTGGTAGTTACCTGTGCCCTGCCTACCTTTTGTCTACCACAAAAAGAAGAAGATGAAATCGAAAAGAAATCATCGTAGACAGTTGCACAAAATATTACTAATACGCCGCGTGGGTAGAGCCGCAGCAGCAGCAGCAGCCGCATAAGAAAACCTGCTCATAATGCCGATTTGGATGAAATGGCGCCTAGACATGGGGGCACACACACTAATGATATACGAGTATGTATGCATGTGTTGGTGTGTGTATTGAGTATATAGAAGCGCGAAATGAGTTGGCGGGTGTGAGTGTATGTTTGCGTGTGTGTGTGTGATGGTTGTGGCAATGGGTGTCTGCAGCCCAAAAGCACTCACACCTCATACACATACACACACACATGCGCCCCTCTCTCCAAAGGGCGCACATTTTGCCCTGCACGGTAATTCATCAAATGACGAAGACGCGGGCAGTGGAACGAAGACGAAGGCGCTGCCAACGCCAAATGCCCGACGGGTTGCTATTGCAAAGAGAGGGTATTGTTGTTGTTGCTGCTGCTGGTGGAACTTGGGCGCCAGCGTTGCCGCCACAAAAGAAGTAAAGCTTCTTGAGCCAAATGCCGCGCTATGTGCCCGCCCCCGACTCCGCGACGCTCACCCAAAAATCTCCCGCAAACGATATATGTAACCCATACACACACACACACTCACACACATGCCCGCAAAGTCCAAAGACTGTCCAGCACCCAGTCAAGTTTCTATGGGGCTGCTTATGCGCTAACCTCAAGCGAGGGTATACCAACTATTCTAGATGCTTTGCGAGTGCGAAACACTTCGATTAAGTAGGGTATAGAAATGTGAGGGTATGAGAACAGTTGAAGTAAAAATGAGGATGACTTCAATACAAATATTGTATTGTAAAGCTAACTATAATATTTGAGATACAGCAATGATATATTTATGGATGTGAGTCGATGATTAAGATAACAGTTAGTCGATTTAGCCATGGTTTCTTATTGAATTTTTAGAAGTAATGAAAAAAATAAAAAGAAATTTATTTACTTCTCAATATTAAAATAAAACAACTATTATTTAATATTATAAACTATTTGCATATAATTTTTAAAAATAATTGCTTAAAATATTTGAAAAAAATTCTATGGAAAATACTTTCTTAATTCAAAGTTCTAAAATTATTTTAGATATTTTTGCAATTATTATAAGTCATTTGAATTTGTTGTTAGGGCATCTAAAATGCGTAACACCTATGAAAAAATGTTTTGCTTGTTTGTTTATTGCAAATATGGGTGGGCCAGGTTAGGGGGTGGGGCTTGGCTATGAAGGGGCTGCCAAGACGAGCCCCCAAACCCGTCCAGCAACAAAAGCATCGAATTTTGTACATAGTCAGCGGCATTTGTATATAAATAGTGGAGTGTGTGCGTGTTTGTGTGAGTGTGTGTTGGGGTGTGTGGGTCAAAGGCAACTTCAAGCCAAACGAGGGCAGGGACTGTAAAGGGATGTGTGTGAGGGCGTGTGCATGAGAAATGGAGTATGAGTGTGTGCGTGTGTGTGTGTGTGTGTGAGTGTATGGTCAAGCTTTGCGCTTAAGCGCACATAAGCCGCCGCAGGACATCGTGTCGAAAGCGTCTTTCGGTTTAATTTGTACCTAGCTAAATCGACACAAAACTTAAAGGCAGCAGGCAGAAGAGTTGCACCAAAATAACTTTCTGCAATCCACAAATGGAGTCAAAGTGCTGGGCCTACACTGAAAAAAATAACGCAGTTAATACAGCTTAAAAGTTGTTATTAAAAATTCCATTAAAATTATATTTATATATATTATCCAAATATGATTCACTCCAAGTTTTCTTGTGTCTTTTCTTTAATGTGCTAAGCCTGCTATAGGAATTCCATTCTTCACTGGGGAAAATGTGATTTTTTTGCTATTTTCTTTTCATTTCTATGAGTGTATCTTGCTATGCTGTTCAGCTGTAATCAAACATGATTTTGGTGACGCTGACGTTGCCAGGCGATTGGGTTTAGGGTTGGGCTCTCTTGAGCACCCCAGCTCACCAGTTTCGGGGTGGGGCGGGCACACAAACTTTGGATGCGAGCTGCAGCCTGATGGTTACACATCTCAGCATTAGTGTCGCAGGCAGGCAGACAACAACGTGCCAGGCGAATCGAAGCAGACGAGGGAACCAGTCAATGTCGTCGACAGGAGCCCGGACCAGGACCAAGACCAGGGACTAATACCCGGACCAGGACACGGGCACGAGCACGGGTACGGGCATGGGCAGCGTAGCCAGGAAGTGGGCGGGTATTGAAAGGCGAAGAAGTGGAAGGAGATATAGCAGGAGCTGCAGGTTTTGCGACAGCGTCTTTCGACTTCACTGTCTTGGGCCATTCTCCATCTTCCTTTCTCTAGTTTGGATAGATGTTACGGAAAATTGCTTACGGTTTTTTGCACACACCAATACCCACACACACACACACACACACATGGCTTCCACACATGAATAGATCAGGGACTTGGGGCTGGGAGGCTGCAGCGAGCATCACATCATACAAACAGACAAGTAAGACAGCCCAAGACCCTCATCTGCTCATCCAAAGCATCGAAAATAGAAATAGATGACAAGAAAACCGACGAAGACATTTGCCGAGTTACCTCCCAGGCAATGGGTAAGGGCGTCGAGCAAGAAGAAGACAATATCCCCTTCCAGAGATGAGGACGACTTTGGCTGAGGGCAAGCGACAAGCTCGACGGGTTACATTTTGGCTGATGCCACAGACACTGAGAGAATGAGTTGATACACTTGATGCAGGGGAGGGTGGCTGGCGCGCTTGAGAGGGTTGAGACTTTGTTTCTTGGGGCATACGAGCCGGCAGTCAGACATGATAGCCCTATAATTATGGCATCTATTCAAAGTCTGTGATTAACTTTTCAACTTTTCAAATTGAAGTTCACTAAAAATTGCAAATCTTGAATTTGTAAGTTTGTGAATTTAAGCGACTAAGTGAGCACTTCGATAACTTTTAATGAAAGTTATTATATGTCTTATCAAATGTAACATATCTTTGTGGTAACTATAATCTAAAAGATCTAAAACTTTCAAGCGAAGTAATATTTCTTATGAAGTGAGTCATATTTTTCTGATGGATATAATCTTAGCTTTAAGAACTTGGTCTGGAAATGTGTTCTGCTGGCATTCAAAAGACGATAGCAACTATCGATCATATTCCATTAATAATATTTTTTTATTTATTTAGGAATTATATTTACGTCTATAATTTTTTACCATAGTTAGCTAAGAATCTGTTGTTTCACAGACATATACATATGTCTATATATTGATATATATCGATAACAAAATATATCGACAATTTGAAAGGTTTCAACAATTGAAAATTAGATAATCCGCTAAATTCAAATATTTCGATGACATTCAACATATGTATAGAAATATAAATATCGATAACTCAGTATATCGATAAATATATATATATCGATCATAATCTCTAAGCATTTGTACTGGCAATTTATCAATGCTATTAACTGGTTTTCAGCATCACAACTCCATACCCATTCTCAAGACATGCTGTGCCATTTCTCCAGGTGTAGCTCAGCACTTGCTTCTGGGCTTGCCATAGAAGCTCCCCAATGCGCCCACGGCCATTCACACACGCACACACACCGAAACACATACATCCATATAAATAGCAGCCATCAGCTCAAAGTCCTTCCCACTCCTTAGCCCTCGAAACATATTCCCACTTTTATATAGAAAGC